AGCGGAATCTCTAGATTCAGAAAAACATATATATTGCCGTCTGATTTTGCTTTCTTGAGAAGATATGGCTATTTTCTAACTCCATATCAATTAGCGCAGAGGCACTAATTCAATGCACATTGTATCACTATACGTAACGGTCACACAAAGGTGCTGAATCATCGATTAGATATGATGAGTGAGAAATCGGATATTGCCTGCGGACAAATCAGGAATGCAAGACTTGCAAAAGTTAGTATCTTTCGATTCATTGATGCATCGCTAGCTGAATCGTTCCTATGAAAAGGTCTCGTTTATTCAAAAATGAAAAAGAAATCAAATGGCATTGATTCCTCACGCTGTTTCATTGATGCGATCCATTCTGTTGTCAATGCATTTATATTGCACGTTTATCATTATAATTAAATCGCTTCTCTGCAGTTAAGGTTGAATGCAAATGCGTATTGTATCCACAGAGTTCACAGTTTGAGTGAAGCTTTTGACATATTTAGTGGCTTGAATGAACATATCAAAGATGGATTATTCAAGATAAATTGAAGCACAACTATAGGTTTTAGTGATTTAATGAATAAGATGTTTTGAGGAGACATGGATGGGATATCACCTTATCATCAAAACCGATCATTGTTATCTCATGCCAATCACAAATATCATGATGCCTGCATATATGCACGACTTTCCGCTAATTCCGGTTGCCATCTCATCATCGCAGTGACTCAAATAAAAAAACCAATGCAACTCATTTTGCAGCTGAGAGCTGCAACCGAAATGTTAAACAACGCGAACGAATAATATGATGTGCGGTACAAGGAGAAGTTAAACGTGATGGATACCAACAGTCAATATCTCGCAAAACTTCGAGCTACTGACATCACCAAAATCGATTTTGAAGCAATATTGGAGGTTATGCGAAACGGTAACAGTAGCGATCAGTTTTCATACACGATCATCAGTTGAATTCAGAGTTGTTGGAGCGTTCCCCAAGAAGCATTTGGAGCTTTTGCAACCTAGAGACTGTACATGCCTACGTTAATTTCGTCTGTTCGCACGCTGAAAACTGAAAAAGGCATTCAAATGAGGTGAATGATTTTCTAACGAAACTTTTCAGGCAAACAAACCCTAGCAAATAAGTTTTCATTCAGGTATCAAGATGCTTAGAAATCATATTATGTGACGATCGACATTGCCAGGGTGATCGTTTCTTTGCCTTTGTTGGATCTTTTTCTTGGACGTTTTCTCTCGATTGTTCACGAAACGAGGATTTCCATCAACAAACTGATTTCTTCGCACGCATATATCTCCAACTCAAACATTTCAGTCGCAAGTCATCCATCATAAGATGCATTTTCATTCACATAAAAATACCGTTTTTAATGTTAATAAGTTACCGTTTCAGGCACTCAATGAGATGACCACGACTTACATGCATGTGTCAAATAAATACGTCTTCCCGCATTTGAAAGGTATCACAAAACTCCTCGCACTTGAAGATCCAAAAGAGATTAATGTTGCCTTCGACAAATTAGCAGTTGACGCTCAACTGTCAACGTCTGAGTTCAAAGATGAGTTGAAGAATGACTATCTCAAGCAACAACAACGAATGAAGGAACGAGCTGACCAAATTTCGTGCGTCATCAGTGTACTCAAGGATGATCCTCTCATTAACAACGCAAACGAACAAAACGACGACGATGCGGATATTGACGACTTTTGACTGACTTATTTCTTCCTCCATCTATTTCCAACAAATGAATATGTCATCCTTTCTCTGCTCTCAAACCAACAAGGGGTTCAATAAATAATTTCAAGAATTTTGCAACAAAACATCAGAATGCTTCAATGATTGTTACTGTTGGTATTAACAATAAGTGTAATTCTGCGTTCCAAAAAGCAAATTTCACAAATCGACACACTGCACTCCAGCCAACATGACTGAAAATCTCAGCGCCCTATCATATCGATCGCATTCTGATAAAATCACCGTCTTTTTAATGAATAAAGAGTTGAATATTCGCGAATTTGCTGGCTGTCGGCATTAGGTTATAAAAAATGAGTTTCACTTTTCATGGTCGAACACTTTTTACTGACGCAGAACATAAAAGTCCAAGGTCAAATTGATTCAAACTGAACAACGAAGTCAGTGGAATAAATAAAAAGGAATAATCGGGATTGTTAAGATAGAAAACTAATTTTCATCCGAGTGGTAGACATGAGAACATGAGAATAAAAATGAAATCAACCAAAAACAGAGAGATTCTAAATGACCGATGTGTGATGAGCGTGACTGAAATGGCATTTTTTAACAGCGCTTCGGTATTGATATTTCAATCTCGAAATGATTCAAAAAATAGCATTCGCTCGCAAATCAAAACTCTCAACTAGTTCATGAATAGGTGTTAGCAGAAATCAATTCCACCCTATTGTTAGGAAAACACGCTCCTACTGACAACAAAACGGAATACATCTCATGTGAAGCATTCATTCTGGATCAATCTTGTCAACACCATCTCTATAATGATATGGATCATTTCAACACTGCTTCACAAAACAATACGCACATCGATGATCATGAATGTTCGTTTATTTTGCTCACTACAACTATTCTAATGATGATTCGAAAACGCTCAATGAAGCAAAACGAGCCAATAAATCAAAGAAATAAAACAAATTGATTCCATTTCCCTGACGATGAGCTCAGTGAATATCGCAACGCGATCGTTCTTATTAAATAACAAAAAAAAACTGAACATTCCTGGATATTACAAATTTATCTAACTGAGAATCACGATTATTTGAAGATCCAGTTGATGAGGATTGCTCTAAGTTTTACTGACACAATATAATTTTAAAAGCTTTATTTCTCCACATGAAAAGTCTAATCGAATACACTGTAAAACCATAAACACGTTTTTTGTGTTAATTAATGTTTTTTTTTTGTGTTAATTAATCCCTATAAATAACTTCACTGTGGTTTTTTTTCAAGCAATTGAGCAATTTTCTCATCAACTTCGATACCAAGAGATCTAATTGACTCCACATCAAAGCCTGAAATTTGTAACCTCATAAGTATCATTGAACATACTTCTGATTATGCGTTTAGAGAAAGAACGTAGCAAAATTTAGACTGATGTAATCAGTTACATGCGATAAAGAACTATCAATAAATCCGTCCTGTGATCAACTCAATCCTGAAACCGGATATTTCCGGAACGAACCTTTGATGTCAATCCCCCAGGCGGCTAAAGCCTTCACAAATCCGCCATCAGTCAAATACTTCGATATGGCGTCGAGTGATTTATTTATGGATTCCAACTCAATTCCCAGATCTTCCTCATCCAAATCTTCACACTGAAAACAAAAAAGTCAATTTATCCCACTGCTACGTAAATCTGTTGTGATCGGAACATTCTAATGAAAAGTATTTGCGAGTTTGTATTGATAATGTAAGAATTATTTGATGCCGTTCAAAAATGAAGACTTAATGTAATCATCCTTGCCAATGACAATGAAACAATCATCCGCAAAAATGTGAATAACGTCCAAATTCGGAGCATCAAGGGAACGAAAGGAATCGAGTGCTTTTTCGAAACATCTCATGAAAAAATCGCTAATCACTTGAGAGTTGGAAGAAATTTACCGCTTCCAGTTCTTCCTTCAAATGATCCACATGTTCCTTCAACGTAGTCAAATCTTCCAACAGTTGCGAAATCGTATTCGTTAACTTCGTGCTTAAAACATCACCAAAATTGAATATATATCCCAGTCTGAGTTAACTGACGCATAAATTTATCATAATGGAACTTGTCTAGTAAGAGAATCAGTAATATATATTTAGTACATAGGTACAACATTGTCGACGCAAACTCAGTAGCATTTAGCCCTTTGATTTCATGGCTCCAGAAATGTAGAAACATAGTAAGCTATGCAGTGCCTCTTAAATACTATTGATCCGATAATGCTACAGTGATGTGGATTTTATTCGCTCACATGCATTAGTGGGTAGTTTTCGCTCCGAAGTAGTATATCAAGTTTAATTTCAAAAAATCTCTTATGATAATTAACTTTTAACGATCTCACGAAGAAAGGTCACGAAGTTAACCCCGCCTTTCGGGATGAGACATATATCAAATTGTAGGGCTCATGTAGTTGATCACGGATATGCAAAAAAATTTTGCAATGGACAAGGGGGACGCGAGGGATTCCTTTCGATGGTCAAGCCAACAATCTTATCCTAGAATTAAAACGTTCGAGATTACATCATCCACCGAACTCATCACTGAAGGCTTGAATTTGCTAACCTCTTCAAGATGAAAGTCCTCAGTTGCTCGTATTCCTGCTTTTTCCATTTTATAGCTAGCTCATCTTTGCTTATTTGATCCCGTACGTCGTTATCCCTGCCTAGACTGCCCCACAGAGTATTCCATGCATTTGATTCACGTCGCCTCGCTGCAGCTAGCACCTTTAAAAACATGGTCATCAGTAAATTCTCATCGCATCCTAAACCATTCATAATAAGTTTTTAACCTCTTTAATATCAGCACTGAAATAAGGAGGAGGGTTGAAGGTTCTTTTACAGATAGTATTAGAAATATTGAAGTATTATGTACTGCTCAATGGTATCAACGATTTGTTGCAATGATGGAATTATATCTTCCAGTGAGGAGACAATAAGGCGATCTGAACGAAAACAGTGCTATTTGCTGATAACGATGCTTTTGAAGGCAGTCTTGCGGCTATCGGTAAGGAGCCTGCTTTCTTCCAGATCACCTTATTGTTGCCATACTCGAACCTAGGATTCTATCGTTGCAAGAACTTGTTGATACTATTGGCATGTACAACATTGCCATGCTGTACAACATCAATCGTTTTGATACTGTTTGTTGAACGAGATTCACTATTCTGTTTTTTTTTTACAATGCTGCCTTGAAACAGGTTAAAAAGCTCGTTACCAATGGTGTAGAATGCAAGTAGAATTTTAATAGATATTTTAGTAAGGTAAAACGGCGGTGCTAATGTTTGGAAAACAGTTAACAATTTAGCCTTTGGATATCGAAAATTGATTAGAAATCATTAAAATGTGCGACATCTCAACATTTATTTAGTCTCATTCAGTTTTGAGTGATTCGTACAGCTAACATTTTTGGCTTCGTCAACCTTACGTTGATGCTCTTTTTTCCAATTGTCTTTACACCACCAGATGCAATACCACGGACATGTATCGCCTTCAATTGAATTTAGGTCGTTTTGAGCATTTTCCACAGCGCGAGTTTCCTGGAGGAAAGCAGCATGTGTCGAATGAATCGATGATGAAATCAAATAATCAAGACACAGATTCCTCCTGTCAGCCAAGATGATAAAGTAATAACAAAATAATAACAATTTTGTTCCTACGCGATTAGAAGTGTGAGCTTAACGCTGGTAATAATACTCGTTTCAAGCGTTGGGAACAATTTAAACAACTAGCACTTCGTGAAGAATCGCCATTTGGGTGCCGAGTGTCTGGCCTTCCCCAAATTTCCTTGAATTCGATCTTTTCATAGTCGGATTTTAGAACTACCCATGTAGCTAGATTCCTGTGTCTGCGTCTAAAATTTCTCACCCTCCCGTGAACTCAACGGTGAGGGATGTTACCATCTAATGTATTTTTTCTAAGCAAACCCTCATGATTTCGTAAACGTCTGGCGAGATTTCTTGATCCACCCCAGAAACTCTTGCTTCCGCTCCGCTAAGTTGAGCTTCCAATGAATGCCATTCAACAGTCAAATTCTTCTGTTTTGCGATAGCATCCGCAGTTTCATTGCTCAGCAAATTCCTTTCAATGTCCAATTTTGAAATCTGCAAGAATGAAAGACCTTGCAACATTTTCAAGAGTCCTTCGTGCATCATCTAACGTCATATTTCAGTTGCGATACATTTGATTTCTCAACTCGATCATCACGATGAATTTATGTGTCACGTGAACAGTTGCAGCTGATGCATATGACATATGTATCGATAAGCATAATCAATTGAAATGTTTCTTTCCAGGACTCCTTACTTCTTCACAAGAAAAGGAACTTACAAACTACTTGGACAAAAGCTTTTTTTGATTCAATCGAAAGAGCACCATGCGTGTTAATGCACATAAGCCGTTGAATTACAATATTTGATGCGAGTTTATTGCCCTCCTTGGGAACAGTTGTGATCATCACAGTGCATCGACCACATAATTTTTCACATCATAGAACTGATTCTAAAGAATCAACTTACTCCATTCTGCACTATTTCGGAATAATTCGTCACGTTACCAACCATCCCAATGATACGGTCACGTTCTTCGTTCGATTCGTCATCCGTCTTGTTTAGTTGCTTAGTTAGGATCTGCAGAACTCATGTTTAGTTTGGAACCAACACGAAAGCATGCACGATCATTTTTGACGAAGAATTTCAATATTATGAAAAAAATCCGGAGAATATTTTCATGGATTCAAACGTCACTTCGAATTTACCAACTAATTATTTTGAAGCCATTTTTTGGTTTCTTTAAACCTGATTCCATTTGACCTATTGCACACATACATTTACATTGTTCCCATTATGCTGCGGCATCTTCAGCTCAGGGAACAAACGCCAGGCAATTGCATATTGGCAAACGATAAGCAGGAGAATCGTTAACGATCGCTTCATTGCTTCAGACAATTACTGTATTGTCGTTTGCGAAGGTGTACACGGTTCAAACAACTCTAAAAACAGACATTTTTGAACCAGCGTCATGAATGTACATATAATACTCTCTGAACTGAAGCATTTGATCGAGTTCTGAGGATGGGTATAAGCGTCATTCCAAACTGCTCGAAATGATAACGATGTAACGAAGTAGGGACTGGACAATGGAAGGATCTGATTCGTTGAATGAATGAATGTATCTGTCAGGCCAAATGCTTTAAATAACGCCATGAAAATTAGATTACAATGATAACTAGAGATCATGAACTTTGACTGCACTGCGTCAGATCGTAATAAAACAATACGTGATAACAATAGCTTATCATGACTCCTCAGTAATTGCCTTTTTTAACTGCACCGACTGAATCGCACCGTAATAAATTCCAAGCTGCTCAAAGTGATAACCAAATTATGACTGCCATTCATTTCAAACCTCTTCATAGTTTTTTTTTAATGCAGCACTGAGCAATGTCAAGTTTTTTTTGCGAAAAGCAGAGAATAGTTTCAGTTCGAGATACCGAACTCAAGTGCCGAACATTCATTTGCCAGACAATGATGAATTCCACGCTGCTCGAAATGATAATGAAATTTTAGTTGTCGTAATATGCAAATACCTTCAGATCCTGATTTTACATTAAGCATTGAAATATCATTTTTAAGACTAGAGAAAACTATCACTTTGAGACATTGACCTTAATTGCTGAGCATTCCTTCTCCAACAAAATTTGGTTTTTAACAAAATTTGCAAATGACAGCATGTTTTCTCTCAAGAAGCTATGCATGTCTTTATGCTGCGCTAACCAAACTACAGTAACCGAGATAAGTATATCTTCTCATGCTCAACCTTCTGTTTGCTTCCATTCAATAACTGTCAGCACCGAACCGATTATCTCGAAGATTGGTCAACGCAGCAGCAAGCGGGGCTGTGGAACTATTTGCAAAGCAAGGACTGCACAATGGAACAGTCTGACTTGGTGAGCGTCAGGCCATGGTCCTTGCGCAACATCACGGCAATCACCTCGTTCCTCGGCCGTAAAGATCGTGGGATCACAATAAGTGAACGTCGTAATAAAACATTGATTACATCGTGATAAAACATTGCATTGCGACAATATCTTATTATAGCTCGCGAATGTTCGTCTTCTTTAATTGCAACGACATAGTCGCACTGTAATAAATTCCAAACTCCTCGAAAAGACAGTGAAATTTTGATCGGCAATAAATGCAAATTCCTTCATAACTTGATTTTACAATCAGCATTGAAATATCATTTTTTTAAACCAGAGATAGCTTTTTCTTTGAGATAAGAATCTCAACGGCTGAACACTCATCTACTGGATGAAAATAAACTCCAAACTGCTCGAAATGATAATGAAATTTTGATTGACATGAAATGCAAATTTCCTCATGACTTGATTTTACAATCAGCATTGAAATATCATTTTTAAACCACAGATAGCTTTCTGTTTGAGATAAGGACCTCAACGACTGAACACTCATTCACCAGACGGTAATAAACTCCAAACTGCTCGAAATGATAATGAAACTTTGATTGACATGAAATGCAAATTTCCTCATGACTTGATTTTACAATCAGCATTGAAATATCATTTTTAAACCAC